CTGAGAAATTAGAAATTATAAAAGCAGTGGTGTTTGAGGATGCCAAATATCACTCCGGAGAACCACAAAAGGAAAACCGTGAGCTGCTGCACAAACTCCATACATACAGGAGTATAATATGTTTTTGTCTTTTTGACAGAGAGCTACGTAAATGTACTCCTAGTCCGTGGTGCTATATATATTGCCGTGTCGCTGGCACCGCACCGGCATCCATCCTACACCTTACACGGTGTTTTGTCCATGATGGTCGCTTTCGGCCGTGTCAATTCACTTGCATTCCGGGAGCGGCGAAATGACGCTCATGTCCTGCCAGTGCCACATCACATGAGGCCCATGAGGCCATGAGCATGAGCAAGCGGGCAATTTGCGCCGGCGTCGCTCTCCATGACTCCATCACAGCATGAGTGTCCCCACACCACAGCACACCCAGGCGGGTCCCTCTCCAACGGCAACATACGCTAAGGCAGTGTCCCGCAGTTGCTATACCTATTAATTTTTATAGACAATATATATATATATATAAAACCATAATTTCAATGAATAGTTTCTATAGAATAATTTTTTTATCCAATCACATACATTCTATCTCCATTCTCTACCAATCACATCTTTTCATACCTTGGTTCTCATGTAGATATGGTTTCTAACTTAGATCCGGTTTCTATGATTTTTGCTCTTTCTTCAATAACTATCTTGCCACATCAGTAAAACGCTTAGGTGATAGTACAATTAATGCTCATAGAAACTATAATGGTTTCTGCATTGGGAGTAGGGCTGGATATCGAGCCAGCTCGGCTTGGTTCGGTCCGGCTCGAGCTGGCTCGTTAGGCTAACGAGCTACATCGGCTCGGCTCGTTAATATTTAAAGCTAGAGGGGCAGCTCGGCTCAGCTCGTTACCGAGCTCGAGCTGGCTTGTTTAGCTCGCAAGCTATTAAAAAAATATGACATATATGTTTATAATATTTATGCTACATTAATTTAAGAAGGTGATGCACACCATTATACAACCATATATGATTAATACATATCAGGTTCATCAAAAATATCAACCATGCAACATAGCTGGTCCATCCATGATCATGCAGTTCCAGTATACTAACTAGTTGTTTGGCACCACAAACTTAGAAAAGTCCACATATTTAATATCAGCATCATCATCTTCTCCCTGAAAAACAATCCATAAAATCAACATTTAAGTACCACAACAATTATAAAATTAAAATTCATATGAAACATCTAAAAATAAGGATTACATACCAATAGAATATGTGTACATTTCTAGGTCAGCATTATCATCTTCTGGATTCATAGTCGTAGGCTGATATGCTTCAGTTCGTTTCAGCTCGTGAGCAGCTCGCGAGCTGACTCGTTAAAATAGTAAACTAGACTTCTAGCTTAACTCGTAAAAAAATTAAAACGAGCTGAGTCGAGTCGAGCTGAGCCGGCCACGAGTTGAGCGAACTGAGGAGCCGTGAGTATTTTGTCCGGTCCGAGTGCCCTTACAACACGACAGCAATAGCCAATAGGGGGGCTCGGAAAAGAAGAGGACAGGAAATTGCAAAAAGTCAAATGGCGATTGGTCCATTATATTCGGGATACACGTATGGTATGGATGGTACTGTATGTATCAACGCCAAACGAAAACAGGGGACGGCCTGACTCGGCTAACGCATCGATCTCAGCTTAGTCAGTGTTGCCAGGTTTGCAATGGCCGGGCCCCCCTGTTGCTTCTATCTGATCTGATCCGCATCTCGCAGGTCCCCTGCTATTGATAAGCTCAAACATGAACATACGGAACCTTATATGTCGTGTTCTTTTACCTTATAAACCGTATTTTTTCAGTCAACAAACAATATTTTTCTCTCACAGTAAATTAGCCAACATTACTTTTAGTCATGGCTTATCAACCAAACAAACAGGGCTATGGTTGACGATACCCTCGTTCATCCGGGCTATTAATCTAATTTGGCATGAAACCAGATATTCAAGACGGATGGTAACTCATAAAAAATAAGTCTACTTACAAGTTCATGGACAATCCGTCTTGCATCGAAACGGTTGAATCTCCATACTATTTCAACATATATTATCAAATCCTAGATTGTACTCGAAACAATATTTCATCTTGAGTTGGGTTTTTCTTGGAGAGTTTCTGTTTCTATGTATAAGATAGCGGAAGTGTAGAAGAGCCAAGATGGTCGTGCTAGAAACGGTTGTATGTGGGTTATAGTCCACCAATCGACTTATATAAGTTTAATTATACACACACACACATGTTGTCGTGAGTAGCTTATAAAATTAAGGGACGTGTGTACATGTTGTCGTGAGTAGCTTATAAAATTAAGGAACGTGTTATACTTCTGGCGTTTAAAACGATGTGACGTAGATCGAGGCAGGGGCGAAGGCGATGAGACATGGCCCCGGTTCGCTTCGCTGAAAAAACAAACCGAAATACTGTTTCAGCTGATTTGTTACAAGAGAAAAACACTATTTCGGCTAAAAAAACAAGTTAAAATGTATGGATTATAAGAGAAGCAAACATATCTGTGAGGTACTCGGGCTCCCCCACGTTGGCCCTACACCCAACCTCCAGACCCCGGCATGGTGTGGCCCTTCTCTCCTCCCACGGGCCACGACTAGATCTCTGCGCGTAGGCCGCAAAAGGAGCCCACAGCCATAGCCCACACGGAGTCAATGCCGACACCGCCGGAAGGCACGATGGAGGAGAAGGACGAGGCCGTGGAGGAAGCCGACGGCCTCGAGGGCCAAGAGCATGGCGTCGTCGACGTTGACTACTAGCGCCATAAACGGAGGACAAGCTAGGCCTTGTTTAGATTGGGGTTATGAATCAGTATTTGGCACTGTAGCACTTTCGTTTGTATTTGACAATTATTGTCCAATCATGGTCTAACTAGGCTCAAAAAATTTGTCTCGTAATTTACAATCAAACTGTGTAATTAGTTATTTTTTATCTACATTTAATACTCCATGCATATGTCCAAAGATTTAATGTGATGGAGAGAGAGTAAAAAAACTTGCAATCTAAACAAGGCCCTATTGTGTGCTGTTGGCGGGGCTGGGGTTTGGTTTTGTCGCCCCGAACGAGCGTGGGAAAGAGCTCACTGGGCACAGTCAGGTTCTTCACAAAGTAGGATAAAGAAGAGATAATTATTGTGAGGCCTACCTTAGTGGAGAAGAAGAGATCCAACTCCCAAAAAATATGATAGTTTCACGTGAACGAGGGGTCTTATTGGATGACTGCTAGAGATGCTCTTAACCCGGTTGGCTACCCTGTCGTCCTTGCCCCTCTGATATAAGACCGCAAAGTAGAAATATCGAATACCCCTAATACCAGTGTGCTTAAGCATCGTCTGAATTATACCGAGATTTTAGGAAGAGAAGCCTGTTCGATTAGCTGATTCCAGGCCCAGAACAATTTCAGGTTTACTTGATTAGTACAAATTAAGCTTGTTGTTCCAGCTGAATTTTTTCTAGAGAGTGAATCCCTGCTAACCGAATAGCCCTAAAATGAAATGGACACGTAGATTCGCCGGAATTATATACTGTCCACAGTTGAAAAATGAAATGGACACGTAGATTCGCCCGAATTATATACTGTCCACAGTTGAAAAGCTCCTTCGGCTCGCTCGGCATGTTTTTTTTTTTAATCACAGGGGGGAAAGAATTCCCCACCTCACCTGAATATATTGCACGAGAGCGATAATTAAATTACCGCTCAGGAAGATACAGAAAACACACACTTACAACATAACACCAACAACAACACACACAAGACAGAGCAGAGGACAACCACGAAAAACATAGAGAGAACAAAGAACTCCTATGATAAGCGTGTAGTTGTTCACCCACTAACACCACCGCCAAGCGGCTGAAGGGAAATCCACGTCAAAAAGCACGACGGCGAGGCCAAAAGGGTTGGGAGACGATAACAGCAGAGCAGAGGAGCGCGAGCGCACCCGCAGGCCGCAGCACCTGCAAGGAAACAACGGCAAGGGGAAGAAGGCCTCCTCCATGCATTTGCGTTGGGTCTCTGCGCTGATCCATGGGCGTTGTCCGATGAACACAACAGACCGTGGCATCCGATCCCCACAGAGGTAGAGAATAATGCCCACCTGGCCCAGCACCTGCATCCACGGTTGTTTTTTATTTTACCTGACCCGCTGTTTTTTTTTTAACATCAACGGAATTTCACGAGGAATTTGACTGATTCATCCATGTGCCAGACTGTCACCAACTTTCTTTTTGTTGGAACTTCTCTGGTCCTTCTCCTATCTTCATTTCAGTTTTTTTTTAAAATGGCTCTTGTGCAGTAGTGTAACATGCTTTTCTGATCCTTGTCGGACAGAAATTGGTAGCGAAATTGCGGTGTGCATCTTCTTCGCTTCTGCAGAAAAGAGAGGAATTGCTTTGCTCTTGCTCTGAAGGAGACGAGGAGGGGACCCACTGGCCCACAGCCGGACCCAGCGGATGGTGCGGACTGTGCTGGGGGAGTGGACACCAGGAATCGCTGTCAGTGACAAGCCTGACTTTTCACGTGGCACCGGGCCCAGCGACAGCGACCCTGCTCGTGTGCCTCTCCAGCACACTCGCTCTCGATCCATCCCAATCCCGTCCCATCCCATCCCATCCTGCTGTTTCTTTCACACAAACGCCCCTGCGCTTCCTGCTAATTACTACGGAGTACTCCGTATGCCCTTTTCCCTTCGAGTCTTCGACCTTCGTCGTTCTCGTTTCTTTCCATTCCACGACCACAATGGCAGGCTGGGCAGACACACACCGGACAGAACAGAACAGGGGATGGGATGGCAAAAAAGGCCAGAGGCAGGCAGCGAGAGAGCTACTGTCTACTACGGGAGAACTGACACAAAACTACTAGGTACATTACCAAATTTGCAGAAACACCCTCCAACTGGGCACTGCCGAGTTTCCTTCTTTATTGGGTTCCCCGCAGCCCACCGCGACCCCCCCCCCGCCCGCCCTAGGCCCAGTGGTCCGTAGGCTCGGTCCACCACGGCAGCAACGGCGGCGGCTGCAGGTCCGCGAAGAAGCCCCCGCACGCCGCGTCGTCGTCGCCCAGGAACGCCGCCTCGTCCTCTTCCACCTTCAGCAGGTGCCCGTGGAAGAACACCTCGCCGTGATGGAGCTGGAGCTGCGGAGCCGACGCACCGGCCACCGCCGCCGCCTCGGCGGGCACCGCCGGAGGAGAAGGAGGCTTCTCCGGCGTCGTCTCCGCATCGTTCACCACCCCGCTGGAGTCGCTGTCGGACGACCCCTGCGCCGCCATGGCCGCCCCGGCGGCGGGGGCCTCGATGTCGGACGCCGCTGGCTCCTCCTTCACCGACGAGAAGGCGTCCTCGTCGCCCAGCTTCGCCTTCAGCTCCTTGATCTGCCACGAGCCACGGAACTCATGATTCATAAACAATCACAAACAAAACAAACGCTGTAAAGAATCTTCTTCTTTATTTCTTTTTGGTGTGCACCGTGAGGAAGAGGATCTCCCCCCGGAACTGGAACCAAGGAATTAGTAGAGTATTATGTACGACGCACCTCGGCGAGCAGCGCGTCCTTGTCGCGCCGGAGCGCGTCGTGGTCAGCGCGGAGCGCGTCGTACGAGTGGCGCAGCGCCGCGTAGTCGCGCTCCAGCTGCTTCGTCTTCCACCGGGCGCGCCGGTTCTGGAACCACACGGCCACCTGCCGCGGCTGCAGGCCCAGCTCCCGCGCCAGCCGCGCCTTCCGCTCCGGCTCCAGCTTGTTGTTCTCCGTCTCGAAGCTCCGCTCCAGCGCGCGCACCTGCTCCGTGCTCAGCCGCCGCTTCTTCTCGCCGAAGCCGATGCCGTTGCACAGCACCATGTCCTCGTCGGCATCCTCCATCCCGACGCCGCCAAAGCCAGCGTCTTTATTGTTCCAAACAACAAGCCCAGCATCAGCCAAACCGTCCGTCCGATGACGCAACAACAAAAGAGCAGAGCACGCACTGAATCGTCAAGAGAGAAAGAAATAAGCGCAAGTTAGTAGTATTACCACTGTGAACCATCGGAAGGGGGCCGGGACTGCCGCCGCCGCCGCCGCCGGAGATGGAACCGCTCGGTCTCTTCATACTCTATCGACTGTCGCTGCTGCCGGGCGCGAAATTCTCAAAGATTCCCAAGAGAAGAGAAGGAGGTGGGTGGGTCGGATCCGGAATCGAAGAGAAGGAAGGATCACAGACAGGGTCTCCCTTGAATCAGGGGAGGGGCAACCGGGGAAAGGGGAATCGGGAGAGACCGGGATGGCGCCTCCGGTGATGCTTCTCCTCCGTCTTGCTGTGACCACCACCACCACCCAGGACCATCACCATGGCTCTCTTGTCTTCTTCCCCAGTTCGGATCCAAGCGCCTCCTAGTACAACTGAGAGCTACTTGGGAGGTTCCTGAGGTTTCTCATGATCGCCTTGCTCTGTCTCACTGCGTGTGTGGAGTACTGGAGGAGTGGAGTGAGAGGTTTCTCTCCGGTTACTATTTTCGTCCGGCCGCAACAACTGTGTGCTTAAAATACGAGCGGATGCGGAGCGGAGGAGGGGGAGGAGACTGGAGAAGTGGAGAGTGCAGAGCTCGGGTTGGTCACTGGTCAGGTTACCTGGGATGGGATGAGCCTGGTGGTGTAAAAAATGACCATGGTTAAGCCTCCAAGGTACAGGAGTAGTCAGGTTCAGAGGGGACCAGGCGAAAGTCGAGCTGCGCGTTACACAAAAGCAATAGAAAGACAAGGGAGAGGCAGCACAGACCATGCATGCCGAGGAGAGAATTTTGAACTGATTTACGCATCTTGTTGGCTCATTGATCAGATCTAGGCCGTGTTTGGTTCCACGGTGGCGACACGTTTGAGTGGTTTGAGCGAAAAAATCCCGCCGAATGGTCTGCGATGACCGCGCGTCTGACTGCTGTGCGCAACGCGAATCGCTGCGGCAAAATGAACTGTGCGCTCAGGAATCGCGAACGCAGCGTCCGAGCCATGGTCATGCGACGGCGAGTCGCGCGTCTAGCCGCTCAGAAGGTAGCACGCCCAACAGTTTATTTGTTAGGAAAGCTATAATATGTTATTTCTTCCTTTTCCTCTCCCTTCTCTAAATCTAAGTGATTTGAGCCTCCAACAATTTTAAGATTTTTCAGTTGTTCAGCTGATGGTTTCTGCGGCTGATAAACCGGCTGATGTTGATCTATTGTGATAGAAAAACACTGTATCATGACTAATAAGCTCTAACGATATTTTCTCTAATCTTTGCGCTTAGAGGGAAGGCTGACCTGGCGATCAGGATGATGGTTGGGGTGGAGGCCTCAACTCGGTATCCAAGTAAAGTTGAGTTAGTGTGGTGATGGTAAGAGCAGGTGTTAGGGATGTAGTCAGAGGATGTAAATTTGGAAAGGGTATTGTCAACGTAAGAGTTGTGAGCAAGTGGAACGAAATGTCAGACAAAGAAAACGTAGAACCAAGGAAATAAGTAATTTTGTAAACATTATATCATGGTCTGTTGTTTGGAAAAAATAATAGGATGTGAAGAAGGAAGAGACATTCGAACGGGGAGTTGTGATAAATACAAACCTCTTATTTTTCGAGGCTCATATGCATTAGTCACATGAGAATTAGAGAGTAATTGGTTGCCCTCTTGGATTTGGACAATGACTTTGATTATAATTGGGCTTCAAGAGAAGTTTGTGGAGCAGCTTCACGAAAACCTGAAGTTTGTGGAGCATCCCTTTAGGTGATATCACGACTCCATTTTTTTTTTCCTTGAACAGAATGTGTGGAGCTGAACTTGGCTAAAAACATGGGAAAAGCAGTGCCAAACACGCCTTTAAAAAACACCTATTTTTAGTCAAAATGGCAAGTAGCATCACCCTTGTTTTAATGGTTTTACTCTCTAGTGTGTTCCAAAGTGCGAATTGTTTTAGATTTGTCTAGAGTCAAAATTTCTTTAGCTTTTATATAGATTTCTTTAAATAAACTCGATCGAAGTTATATAAGTTTGGTTTATGACAAAACTGAAACGATTTACTCTATCTATAATCATAATGTAAAGCAGAGGTAGTACATGCTACATGCTGTAGGGAAGTGGAACAGAGTTGTGTGCAAGTCTACTGTGCATGTACTCGTACTCGAAAGCAAGCAGTTGGTGATAGGCATCTGCATGTGGCAAACGTACATCCTCGGTAGTGAAGCCCCATGAAGCGACGACCTTTCGGTTGTGCAGCACGGTGATGGTGCAAAAGGCATTGACCGACTCCAGCTGCAAATACTCCTACATGCATCTCTCACGACTCGCTCCTCACTCCACTCTCAGAGGCTGCTCACGCCAGGAGCCACGCCGATCGATGCCGAGCAGCCGGCAGCGGCAGCCGGGCGGGTGTAGGTAGAGTCAGGAAAGGGGCGGCCTTTTTGGAAGGCTGTGGGACGGACAAGGCGAAAGCAATGGCGGAGCCCAGACGCGCCTGCCCCTCCCTTGTTCCTCCGCAAGACGCCAATCCATGCGCAGCTTTTTTGGGGGAAACGCCAAACGGTGGAGCCGCTTGCTTTCGCACCCTTTTGGCCGCCCAACCCCATCGGCAACCTTTTCCACAATAGCGGAGCCCCATCCGCCTCTCGCCGTCGTCGGGGCGGGGTAGGGCATGATTGGTATCCTGCATGAGGCTCGGCCAGGCTCCCAAGATGCCGCATCTTTATACATAAGCTTGTTTGGTTGCTCAGCCTGGCTCCTGCGGTGCAAGCTTCTCTTGTTTGGATGACTGCATCTGTAGCTCGACCTGTCTCAAACAATGCAAAAGTGGCAAGCAAACCTGGCTCATCGGATACGAGGTTCATCCGCGTTTCTCTGGAGCCTGGCTCGCACGAGCCTGCTCCAGCTGAACCAGGCCACGAAGATACGAGCCAGGGCGCCTCATGCGGGAAACCAATCACGCCCGTAAGCTTCTGAACCAACCGGATCGGAGTCAGAGCACACGCGTGTTTTTCTTTTCTTTTCACCCGTTTAGGGCGTGATTGTTTGCCAAGACGCGGGGAGCTTGCCTAGACCAGACCAGCCAGGTTTCAGGGATGCCGGGCTAACTGCTGCAATACAGCTTATTTGGTGTCTCTTCCCAACCAGGCCTGGCTCTGGGAGATTGTGATTGTTTGCCTGGGCTAGGTGTCAGGAATCCTAACTACCTTCCAACTGCCTAGTTGGGACGGTGTTTGTTTGCCTGGACAGCAATCGCCAGCACAAGATGCAACCACCAGCACCAGACAGCAACCGCAAGCACACACCATAAGAGCAGGTACCATAGCACAATTATGAATGGACAATGAAGCTGAATAGAGCATAGTTTACTAAGAGCACAATTAGCTGTATCATTACAACATCATAAATTAGAGATTACAATTACTAACTAAAAGTTGCAGCCATTGCACTTTTTCAGCTTAATCCACATCGCACACAGCAGAGCACAAAGGAAAAAAATCACCACAGTTTTGTAACTGATAGCAGAGGGTGTTGATGCAGGGTTAGAAGTAGAGATTGAGTTGATTGCTGAGTTGAAAGCAGTCATTGCTTCCTCATAAGAGCTGTATTTCTTATGCACAGCTCCACCATACCCCAATACATGCTTAATGCACTCAGCCCAACTCATGTAGACACCAGATTGTTCTCCCTTAAAAACAACATACTAAACACACATTGTTCTCCAGTTAACAAGCAGCAAGGCCTGAGTCAAAATTGGTTCGGGTGCAAGCCACCAGTTTGTTCAATGAGTCTGTCTAGGTGCAGTAAAGGTAGCTGTAGACAAACTCAAGAAACGAACCGTTGGAATACACATGGTAAAGGTGCAGTAGACATCATAGGCAGTTGTTGAAATGCCTCAGCTATTCATCTATTGCATCATAGGCAAAAAAAAAGTATGTGGCCTCAGACTTGATCATGATTCAATACATTCTGATAATGGTCACTGGTGGCGCTGCTGAAGTATCAAACAGAACAAAACAGAGGAGGACGTGTTTGTTTGCCTGGAGAAGCCAAATGTAGACAGTAGAAAACCAAGGTCATGACAGCCATGGAAGCATGAGACACGTCCAACCCAAGCCATTAGAGCATCTATAAGAGAGCAGTTGCTTAGGTATGAACGTCTCACATGTTTTGATGACAGCCATGAGAACCAAGAAACCAGCACAAAGACAGATAGAAGCATAAGCAGTGCCACCTCTATAACATAACCTTGTGTTATCATCGGCCATAAGCAGCACGAAACCATCGCAGTCAAAATAACCAAGTTCATGACAGCCATGGAATCGTGAGACACATCCAACCCGAGCCATCAGCAAAGAATAGAAAGAGCTGTTGCTTGGGTATGGATGCATCTCATGGTTCAATGACAGCCATGAGAACCACACTCACCAGATCATAAGCAGCGCCACATGTATGCATAATTGGGTCATCATCGGCTTCAAGCATCAGAATCAACAAACCAGCAAGAAAACAGCAATGTGCAAAGCACAGCCACCCATAGGCTCCACCTCAACATCATCGACCATAATAAACCCCAAAAAAATCGGATCCCAAGCTCAAACCATGCTTAACAGTAAACCCTAGCTCATACATCTTATCACAATGAAATAGAAGCATGGAAATATGATGGATTAGGACCAAGAACTCACAGATCTACCAAATAAACCACCAATAGTGGGATCCCAATCTCAGACCATGTCATAAACCAAACCCTAGCAAACCCTAGCTCATATGTATCATCATAGTGCAACAAAACACATGGAAACATCATGAATTGGGACAAAAAACTCACAGATCTGCCACAGAACAACGCTATGAGCACTTTGACCGTCGAAATCGGGTCAAGTGTAAATACTTCACAACGCTATGAGCACTTTTACCGCTGAAATCGGGTCAAGTGTAACCAACATTTTAAGATTTCACCATGCTTTCGGGACGGAGAGGAAGCAGCCACCAAAGAAGTCGGCGGCTTGGGGAGGAGGAAGCAGATCTGGTGAGGAACGAGGCGAAAGTTTGGGGAAAACGAAGCAACATCACAACAGCTTCGTGTCTGATGCAAGCAAACACCAACAACCAAGACATAATTGCTCGTCTCAAGGAAGAAGAAGAAGACGATGGCGATTACTGAAGCCATAGTTATAACCCCTATTTTTAAATGATCACCCACCATCTTGTCCCGGCGAGACGGAGGAGGAGTAGCCGACGCGAGGCCCGTCTACGACCCTGCCGCCACCACGCACTACCAGACGAGGGAGGAGGAGGCAACCGCACCGAGGAGAGTGGAGAGCATGAGGGAGTGAGGAGCGGGAAAGACGAGGAGTGAGCGGCGCCCCTCAATATAAAGGGAGGCGAAACCCTAGCGGTTTGGTGGGGAGGAGGAGGAGAACTTTTCGCGCGATTGATTAGATGAGAGCGGAGGCGCCAGTATCAATAAGCCAATAGCAGCCAAAAGGGAACCGCCAGGCGATCGAGCCAAAGCCCCCTATGGAAGAAAACTCGAGGTTTATGACGGGAGGCGTTCCTCGAGGGCTCCTCGCACACCATCTTTTAATTTAAAGCAACACTCTATATTTGATATTGTAGGGCTCTAATGGCCCTATAGGCGCCTTGGATCCTTGGGAAAAAGTGTGGAGCAAACAAACAAGGCCTCCTACACGGGTTAGACCTGGCTCACTCCTTCGTCCAGGCAAACAAACACGACCTTAGTACATCCCTGCTTGCATGAATCGCAGGGGGTGGGTGTGTGTGTGTGGGGGGGGGGTGTCAGTCGTGAGGAGCGATCATCACGGGCTCTTGAGAGGTTCAGACGCACGTCCCATGTTTAATAATCTACTATACTAATTAATACTAATATATAATGAGTCTGGCTGACGATTCCAATCGGATCGCCTCGACGTGAGATGGGGCTGAGGCAGTCAGGATCGTACGCAGAAAAACTTCTGACTTTGAACTGAAAATAATGCAGACTATCGTATATATATGTATAGAAAAAAAATACAGCTGCAGCTTTTTTGGCTTTTGCTACAGTAAGTTGTGAGAGAACATTTCTGCAGCTGCAAATAAGCGCAGCACTCACTCTCTCTATCTCTTTCTGAATACTCTCAAACATGACGTATTTCCGTTAATGGTCGAATTTATGCAGTCTGAGGAACACCTTTGGAACTAGGTAAATGGTCGAATTTATGCTGTATCGATAGTTTGTTGGCCAAGAGTTTCTTCTAGTTTTAGATTTGCATTCCAAGAACAAAACTCAGGCAATAGTTAGATGACTAAACATGCAGCAAACGCAGCCAGACTTGTCAAGGTGGAGCGAGAGAGAGAGAGAGTTTGTACCCAGCTGTGTTCTGTTCCGGTATCAAATGATGTCCAACTGATTGGTTAGTTGACTTGCCACCAACGATGAATGATGATGACCTTATTATGATGCCATCCGTCGCCCTACACCTCAAGTGGCTCAGTTCAGTTTCGGTAGTCATTTGGCTCGTTCGCTGGTTGGTTTGGGTTAATAAGTTTGGCTGATGTTGGTTTATTGTGAGAAAAAATATTGTTAACTAGCTGATAAATCCTAGCTCAAACCAACAAGTGAGCAGGTTAATCGTGCCTTTTCTGCAATGCATGCACGATGATATCCGTTATCCGCCGCTGCCCTGCCCCCACAAAGAAACATCCACAGCTGTTGCGTTCTGTTCTGAAGGGAGCACCAGCTAGTTGGCTGGTTCAGAGGAAGAGGGGAGGGACGTGGAGACCTGTCACGCCCAGACGACAGAGGGTCGTTTGGTCAGAATTGCCAGACTGGCTTAGCACACACAACAAAACCACGGCCACACCAGAGTGGAGTACGGAGTACTCTCTAAGCGCGTGTTTAGTCGAGGAAAGTTTAGAATTTAGGCTACTGTAGTATTTTTCGTTTTTATTTGACAATTAGTATTTAATTATGGATTAATTAGGTTTAAAACTTTCGTCTCGTAATTTCCAATCAAACTGTGCAATTAGTTTTTTTCGTCTACATTTAATGCTCCATGCACGGATCGCAAGATTCGATGTGATAGATATTGTAGCACTTTTTTGGAAAAAATTTTGGAACTAAACACGGCATTGTACACGGAAGCAGCTAGCTACGTAGCGTTTTGGCTCGGCTGATGATGAGACACAGGTCAAATGTATGGAGTGTATTACTGTCCCATGGTAGAACACAAGCCGGCCGGGCACAGTAAAACACAAATAGGGAGCTAGTAATTCGCAGGGTTTTAAAGAGGAGTGGAACAAGAAGTCAGTCAAGCCTTTGCAAGTACGAGTAGCAGCGAAGCACAAGGGAGTACTCCGTATTTCCTTCCGAGAGCAACGAACAGAGTTGTGTCCAAGTCAACTGTACCTGTAAGTAGACTTGCGTGGCAGGTGTTCGCTTTTCTTATAATTCATCTTTTTTAGCTTATTTTTTTAGTCGAAATAGTATTTTTCTCTCACACTAAATCAGCTAAAATAATATTTCAACTTGTTTTTTCAGAAAACGAACGGGACCGTTGTGCACAAAAGCTTGCGCCGGCACCGGGAAAGAAAGATGGAGGTCGAGGTGGGCGTGGCAGGGACCAGGGAGACCGACACCGACCGACCGGCGACACCACGGAGGTCGGAGGTGCAACATCATATCCGCCCGTGCGCATCCAGTCTTCAATTTACCGTCCAATCGCACGCAGCTTTGCAATCATTTGTTTGTTTGTACAAGGCTAGCTAGGTACCGTTTAGTTTGCTCCTAAAATGCTAAATTTTTCAAGATTCTCTGTCACATCGAATCTTTGGACGCATCATGAAGCATTAAATATAAATAAAAAATAAAACTAATTACACAGTTTAGACGAAATTCACGAGACGAATCTTTTAAGCCTAATTAGACTATGATTGATACTAATTATCAAATAACAACGAAAATATTACATTACCATTTCGCCAAAAAATTTGTAAACTAAACAAGCCCCTAGTAGTACAAGCACAAGGTTGGTTAATAACCAACGCGACAGTGGCTGTGGCTCAAACAAACGGGCAGACAGAGTTGATGTATACAGCCAGGCAACTACGGCTCTGTTCATGCATACACGCAGGCTTGGGGAAGCAGGCTGTCGATCGCGGCCTCAAAACACAAGATTTAACGCATCAATCAATATTCATTTATGCACTTAATCTTCATCATGGATTCAATATAAGACAAGATTTGGGTCATCAAAATTCAAGACTCACTCGTGCTTTTATTTCCCTTGTGGGGAGGAGATATGATGCTACATCAATCAAATCAAAGGATATATAAGACGGTCTTTACAACCTACGAAAACTCATCTGCTTTCTAGTCTAGATTGATAATGCTCAAAAACTTCTAAAGATGAGCGTTCCTCTGTTATTATGCATTCATAGGCACCTCAGAAGAAAAACGATATGATACGATTTTCACGTACTTACACTGCCCCAAGACTCATCTCAATAAAGACCCAACAGTTTCCACCATAATGCACCAGCAGATCCCCAAATTACAGCATTGATTACGGCTGTTATAAAACCCAGCTTGAATACATCTGGAAGGCCAACATACCCAGCTGCACAAGGAAAACACAAGGTTACTCAGCAGAGAACAAATATTAAATCTTTATTAAAGCTTGTGCTTTCATAACTAATAAAACACGCAAAGAATTTTCTTCATGTCTATGCGCAGCAGCTTGTGCTTTCATTTCATTATAAGGCTCCATTTGAATTATCATTTTGTTGTGCGCACAAATATGAAGGTAGTTTTCATGATCAAATACACTGTCATACCTAACGAAATAGAAGTTGATGCTAGAAGAAGGATTTATTAGTAAATCGAATCGACAAAAAGAACGGAAAAGATCATGCATCAAGATATGTTCTACACATTGGAATATCAGTAGAAGCTAATCAGTTAATTAACTCCTCTATAAATTGGTATTGAAAACCAGGCTCGAAACAAGTATGGAATGATTGCAAGCAAACTTGGAAAATATGTGCTATTCAACAAAAGAGGTGGAAAAGCACAATTACCTCCAAAGTATACTGCAGATTGCCCGCTACTATAGTGGGTCAGTGATCCAAAGAGGTTTGCATTGTATGCCAAAGCAAGTGCCGACATTAGAGCTGGCACACCAGCTGCTAAATGCATGGCAAGAAATGCCGAGTATAAAGCTCCAACTTGTGCAGTTTGGCTTGCAAATATATAGTGAATAAAGAAGTATGAAGCCTGAAGAACACCAAATGCTGCAGGCCAGCTCAATGAGAAAGATCGAAGAACCTTGGCAACACAGTTCGACATCCAGGACACAATCCCGAGGTTGGTAAGCTGCCCAGCTAAACCAACTAAAATAGCAAACCAAGCTAGGGTGTCCCATGCAGACTTCTCATTCAAACAATCCTCCCAGTTCAGCACTCCAAGCAGAAGAAGTATTGAGAGTCCAATCATTGCAGCAGCAACGCTGGATACGGCAATACTTTGCCTGCAATATTAGAAACAGGATAAGCCTTTTTTTGTTCCTCATCAATAAAAAAAAAGGAAAACTGAATAACCATATTGACTCTTGGCCATAAAGAAAAAAGAATATTTTAGCTGTCTCCACAACCATAAGTGGAACCACAGACTAATAAAGGAACTTTTCAGGGGAAAACACACAGAACAATGCTGCTCAGTGCTCTGTGATGTGAACATTATCACAATGACAACTACAGCAGGCACCAGTCAAGAAAGATACTTGTGCTCTTGTGCTGTGTGTATATATACTTACTTGCGTGATTCCAAGAACAGTGTAAACGGTGAAACTAAATACAAAAGTTCAGTTACTGAAAGTTTAGCTTCAGATTGCAAGTCAATTCATTGGGAAAATCCTCTTTAAAAAGCAAAATCTTACCCAAAAATCCAGAGTGAGACTGCAAGAAGCATCGTTGCAATCATGATCCATTCATTTTTTGTTACTGGACCCATGTTCTTTAGCTTCTCGGCAGCCAATGCTGGGGCTTCAGGAGTGTCCTTTATTTCAGGGGGGTATATTTTGTAAATCAAATAAGGAGTCACTAAAAGCCCAAGAAGTGCTGGCACGCAAGCAGCCTTGAACCAAGTAATCCATTGGTTTCTGATATTAACGCCATTCCCCTCTGCTAACTTCAGACACAACAGGTTCTGTGCAGCCGCTGTCAAGAAAAGAGCACTGGAGTTGGCAGCTGCCTGTCAATCAAGCATCAGAAATCAGCACAGTAAATCCGTTGATCAATTTGAAAATGCACTAATGATTAAGAAGCAAGAACATAACTAGCAAAATGATTTGCATACAATACACTACAATTCGTACAAATGCCATTAGTTTTCCACTGCTTTCTTTGCATTGAGTCAAGTGACCAACAAGGCAACAACCATAACAAAAATTTTTAAGGATCAATCTATTCAGTTCTTCAGTTCAGTGTTATGCAATCAAATGACTCAGACTGCACTCAAGAATGAACACAGTTTTCCAACTCAGTGGTGATGCATCAATGTGGATTCCTATAAGACATTAAATAATCTTAAGGCACAGTTTCCATTACTAGGCCCTATCCTATTAGCAACTACGGAGTACAACAGTTTAGAGCAAGGTCAATAAGCAGTTAAGCACACGCACCGATTCATCCATCTGGAGCAAAATTTAAAAGGCTCATCAGAGCCAGAACGAATATCTGATATATATAACAGCGGGATTCATCAGATTGTAATATCTTAATATAAAACTTGCATGCATGCACATCTGCATCATCAAGCATTCAAGCACATCGTCGTTTATTACCTGTAGCTGCGATTGCACAAGATACGAGCCGAGTTTCTTGGCCGATGGGTCGTTGGGCTTGCTTCCCGACGAGAGCGACAGCGACTTGATGATGGGAAGGAAAACTCCTCCTGCCCTGGCCGTGGTGCTGGGCATGGCAGGCGAGATGAGAGCCTCGCTGATGACAAGCCCATAGGATAGGCCCAAAGTGCTGCGGCCCAGCCATTTGACGAAGTAGGTGGCGACGCGGTCGCCGAGGCCGGTCTTGACGAAGCCGCGCGCGAAGAAGAAGGAGATGACGATGAGCCAGATGACCTCATTAGTGAAGGCCCCGAACGCGGCGGCGAAGGAGAGCGTGCGCGTGGCGACGGTGACGGTGAGGCCGAGGAACGCCCACGCACCGACGGGGAGCGGGGCGAGGACGAGCCCCGCGATGGTGGAGAGGAAGATGGAGAGGAGCTGCCATGCCTGCGGGGTTACCTTGGCTGGCCGCGGCACGAGGAAGCGGACGGCGAGGCCGAGGGCAAGCGAGATGAAGAGGGGCAGCGGCTTAGCACCGCCCGATGCCGATGCCGATGCCGCTGCCGCCGGCGCCGGCGCCGGCTTAGGGCTCGGGGTTGCCGAGGAAGCGGGGCAGCCAGGAGGATCTGCTTCCACGACCACGACCGTCTCAGCGGTCGTCGTCGTCGTCCCTATGTCTCCTGTCGCGACGGTGGGATGACTCCTCATTCAGAAGTGGACGAGGAGGACACGGATCCGGTATCCTAGGCATGGACCAACCGGCCCCGCACCATGCTTGCTGCTCACGGTGGGCCATCGTCTCTCTCTCTCTCTCTCTCGGTGAGGGCGTTGCGGAGCTGAGGTTGAAGCGGTCAATCGGCGGGATGCATGCATGTTGTTGGGGTTGTGAGTCCATGCCCACTGCCACAGGTTGGGAGACCGAGTATCTTCACTGTTCAGAGAGGCCTCTACGATATAGTGCAGCGAGCAGGACTTGCCGATGATCTTCTTAGCGACGTCCTCGGTCGAGACATGGATCGGCACGCCCTCGAGGTAGAGACGCACATGGAAGTCCATCGGGGCATGCTCGCCGGGGGTGACAAGGCGCCATGGAGGCAGCTCCAGCCAGAGGTTGACGGGGTGGATTCTCTCCCGTGCGACAGCTTGGTCGCGGTGGTGGTGATGGACAAAGCATGCCACCGGTAATAAGAAGGTTATAGCCAAAAAAAACTGGTGGTATGTTGGCTTACATCTAATACTGTTCTAGAAAAATTAGCATCAATAGTTTCAACATTAAACAAAAAGATGTAAAGGCTTGACCGACCGTGCACAAAGATGATTGACAACTTCACAATAGTTTTTATTTACAATTGAAGCAATGCTCAAATAACTCCAGGGAGAAAAATCTTGCTAAGAAGATAGCATCAACTTATTAATCATGCTCCATTGTGCACTTGTCATATCCTCCTCACTTTCAAATTTTACAAAGCCAAAACCTCAGGACTGAAGTTGGTCGTCTACTGGTATCCCAATGACTACTGCTTCCTCCACACGCCCAAATTTAGCATTGAAGAATTCAATAAGGTACTCTGTCAGAAAATAACAAAGAAAGTGAGAAGTGTGTATTGCTTTAAATTTGCTTAAAACCAAGAAGTGCAGGATTTATGAAGTTTTACCTGAGTCTACCGTCTACCGAAGGTGGGAGGTCCCCCCAAAAAAAAGTGCTGAGTGCAGTCATTCTTCAGCCAATGATTATTCTAAAAAGGAATGTAATGTAAGCAGACTGAGCAAAGACAAGTTATAGGTGGCATTCTTAACTTACCCCACTTTTCAATTTACCGTCCAGTTGCAGCTTTGAAATCATTTGTTTGTACAAGCACGGTTAATAATAACCAACGTGACAGTGACTCAAACAGAGGGATATAGTTCGCTGCATGCACCTCTTCTTTTATCATCGGTTCTGCTCTCAACTGTAGCCGCCATCTACTTTATTACTAGCCAAATTCAAGAGCAGTGTCTCCATCGGCAGTTACGAATTTGATCATAACAATAGAGATTTAAATCCTGTTTGGATCACTAGTGGCTAAAACTAATTGTCAGGTGACTAAAAGTTGGGTGACCAGCAGCTATTAGTCAGTCCACTTTATTAGGATCCTAAATATGTACAGGCACAAGCCTAGATTGTTGTTAATTTCTTCTTCAAAACTCGTCCGGCCGGGAAAAGATTACCTCACGGTATTAAGAAACCTCAGCCTTCATCAACCAAAGAAATTTGATCAGCACTGACCAGGATGGGCCCAGGTTGAACCAGCCGCTCACACACACACAAAAAAAAAAAAAAAATCAGGGAGATCACAGCCAGCCTTCCATGCAGGCAGACGCAGATGTAAGGACCCATGTGCGACATGAGCCAGGGCGCGGGAAGCAATAAAAACATAGATATTGTACATCAAAGGTCTCCTGGCTGCTTACTTAGTAGTCACAGGGTAACATAACATTCATCCAACCTTGCTAGTTAGGAAACAAGTCAGGGATACATCCGATCAACTACCTAATTGTTAATTTTGTTTTGAGAGACCTAATTGTTAACTAAGGGGTAGATTTCCTCCTCCTAGAGAAAAAAAAGGGAGTTTCCTCACGACAATAGCTTAGTATTTCCTAGTTCTCACTTCTGAGTTCCATCCACCACACACTGCAAACCCACCACTGGAGATATTGATGACATGGTTAGTCCAGTTTTGCTGATAAGCTTTGCAAACCCACCACTGGAAGCATGTCTGCCAAGTCTGCCGGCTCTGGCTTTGTAATCAAGAGCTGGTTCTACTACACCTGGAGAAACTCCAACAAGCTCCTTAGTGGAGATCCAGACAGAAGACCATGCAGCAGGGTCACTCCTTGATTCTCCCTCATCAGTAACCTCTTTCCCCCTTGGGCACACCTTGTATAAATCGATTTTTTAACACTTTTTTAAACTAATTTTAAATCTAACACTGTTTATTTTTTTTTTTCCAGAACTAACACTTTTGGCCGCGCCTATTTCTCTGGCGTGGCGAAACGTCTGTGCCGCGCCATGCATGGTGACGCGGCGAGAGGGATGACGTGGCGACGACCGGGGCGTTGACCGGTGACGTGGCAGGGTCTGCCGCGCCACCGATCTGGGCGCGGCACTGACGCGCCATGGAGAATGGCGCGGCGAGGCAAAGCTAGGCAGGCGGGAGCATAGGCCTGCCCGCGTGGCCTCGGCATGGCATCTAGGCCTCCTCATTGTAGCGGTGACGCTGACGGAGCATGTGATGCCTTCCAGCTGCGGGCATCGAGCTACGTGCGGGTGTAGGGGTTTGTAATGACAACTGACACCTGTGGTGGTGAACGGTACCATCAATGCCCCTCCCTCTCTCGTCTCGCCCAGTCCCAGCAAGCTGAGCTGCCATGTCCGATGGATGATGGAGAGAATTTAAAAGCTCCCGCTCCAGTTCTGGTGAGAGCTAAAATTACGTTTTTTAGACGGAGGGAGTAGCCTAGTACGTACAAATGCCTCATGAATGGAGAAAGAAAAAGATCCAATGATCGCTGAAATAGCCTAAATGCACAGTAACATGCCAAAACATATATAAAATTAGGAATTTTGTGCTTCTGAATTCGGAGAGCAGAGCAAAGCCCTAACATCAAGATATAAAGACCCCGTTCGCTTCGCTGAAATACTGTTCCGGCTGATTTGTTGTGAGAGAAAAACACTATTCCGACTGAAAAAACAAGCTGAAAAGGACGGATTATAAGAGAACCGAACATGACCAAAGTGTCCTACAGCAATGATAATCCCAATTCCCAAGTCAAGCCTCATGCAGGCTGCTAAAATACCTAGCCGTTACAAGGAAATAAGTATTAGACGTTTTCTATGATACATCATTGCAGTACCTAATACTTATATCTTCTAAAATTTTAACTCGTGCGAGAGCATAAGTTGATGGACTATTTTTCTGAAACATTTTAGCTGCAAAATTGCTAAACCTCAACGGGTTGATTTGGTCTCTCCAATCAACTGATTTTTGGGCCATCTGATCTTACGCGGACGGCTAGCAGGGGCGCGGCCGACGAACAGGAGAGGCACGTGCAGTCAGCGAAGGCTGGCGAGGCAGCAGGTGCGGCCAGCCTTAGAGCTGGCGGCCCCAGCCATGGCAGCAACCGACGGCCGGCTACAAGGAGGCTGACGAGGAGGGCCGCCCCCAGGCTGGATCACAGTTGCTGATTCTTCTCCGGACTCTGTTTGCGTGCGCATTCGACGGAAGGAAAGGGAAGTGCGCAGGCGACAGAAGAGAAGGGATAAGGTTGGGGAGGTGGGTCCCACCACAATTTGGGAAAAATTGTTTTGAAATTTATGAAAAATTTGTGAATAATTTGAAAGTATTTCTGAAAAATCTGGCATATATTTATATTATCTCAAAATTACATCACCGTGTTCAATAAATTACACTGAAGAAATCATGGTAAATCTAGTAATAAGACAATGTAAATATAGCTAGAAGACACTGTAAATACATGGAAAAAATTCACTTAACAGGAGGAACGAAAACAACTGAATCAGATCCTTTACCTATAGTCAGATCTAGTAGCATCTACCGGGAGTCATTGTAGATGTACTATGTACTAGCTGGTCGACGAGACCTTCGCGTCTAGCCTTTTGCGGGGACCGAGGCTGCCGCCCGCTCGGCAGTCCGATGGACGTCGGAGGGGACGGAAAGCCTCCCGCAGTGTCCTTTTCAGCTAGCCCAGTACGTAACGCATACAATATGTACTCCAGTAGAGATCGATCGATAGAAAAGCAGACACGTGGATCAACTTTGAAACAAAACCGACGTGGCCTGATTGTGGGAACTCTGCCACGTCACCTGTCAGGACATCCTCTCCTCTGGGAGACGCAGGGAGGGAGGGAGTCCGTGGTGGACTGGACTCGACTGTAACGGTTGCATGGTTGGTGATTCTTGGGGAAGGAAGAAAATTCATTATCCATTGATGGCCAAAGGCGTCTTTAATTAATTCTCTCCATCGTCCATGGGACACGCAGCTCGCTCCGTCAGCGTCACCGCTACAATGGCAGGTTGTTGTGCATTTAGGCTATTTCAGCAGTCATTGGATCTTTTTTTTTCTCCATTCATGTGGCATTTGTACATACTAGGCTACTCCCTCCGTCTAAAAAACACAATTTTAGCTCTCACCAGAATGGAGCGGGAGCTTTTAAATTCTCTCCATCATCCATCGGACACGGCAGCTCAGCTTGCTGGGACTGGGCGAGACGAGAGAGGGAGGGGCATTGATGGTACCGTCCACCACCACAAGTGTCAGTTGTCATTACGAACCCCTGCACCCGCACGTAGCTCGATGCCCGCAGTTGGAAGGCATCGCATGCTCCGTCAGCGTCACCGCTACAATGAGGAGGCCTAGATGCCATGCCGAGGCCGCGCGGGCAGGCCTATGCTCCGGCCATGCCTAGCTTTGCCTCGCCACGCCATTCTCCATGGCGCGTCAGTGCCGCGCCCAGATCGGTGACGCGGCAGACCCTGCCACGTCACCGGTCAACGTCCCGGTCGTCGCCACGTCATCCCTGTCGCCGCGCCACCATGCATGGCGTGGCACAGGCATTTTGCCGCGCCAGGAAAATAGAGCGCGGCCAAAAATGTTAGTTTTTGGGGGAAAAATTAAACAGTGTTAAATTTAAAATTAGTTTAAAAAAGTGTTAAAAATAAAAAAAATCTATAAATCACCCCTTGTCTGAAGAAACAAGAACAAGATATGTCAGTTAAAATAGAAACTGACAAGTGCCTCGTATGGTAACTTATGCTAGTACCCCGTTACATAGAGACTCCTTACAGACAAATTCCAGCTCTGCTCCAAAAAGAGGAGGCTATCGCAATCTCAAAACCACACCAAAAAAAAGAAAAAAAGAAAAGAAGAAGGGACAATGCTGCTGTGACAAGGACATTGATGACCAAACTGATACTAAAGAAAAATAAAAGCCAAATTGCACCATTCTATAACAAGTAAATTCCCTTTTGCGATACAGCATTTGCTACAATCGAGGCCTTATCCTATGAAACTTCTGTTTATAATACTAACCCTTCCGTCGTCTCCAGTTATGTATCGGCTGTGAAGGATGCAGCTCCACTCCTTCAGGGTCACCATGTCATCTTCAGTTGTTATTCTACTATGTCTGCAACAAAGCTACTGCCATCAGAGCTGCTAGCTACCTGTTGTAAGCTTCGGTTTGGAAATACTAGTGTGATCGGCTGCAGCCAGTTTACTCGCTTCAATGTGTCTGTTCTTCCCTTGCAGTTTCTGCACAGGCTGTTATTTGAGGTAAATCTTGTTTTCAATGACACAACGTAATTGCAACATCCTGTGCTGGAACGTGAGAGGCCTCAATGATGTGGTGAGGCAAGATACAGTGATCTTGCTAGTTAGAGACACAGCCTCCGCCATCGTGTGTTTGCAGGAGACGAAGATGCAAAATTTGGATCAAGGTGTTGTCAGACGTACTGTTGGGGCTAAGTTCGCCAACACTTTTGTGGTACTACCAGCCACTCAGACACGAGGCGGCATTCTTATTGCGGTCAATGAGGATTACTTCCAGCTCTCCGACCAACATTTATCTACACATGCAGTGACTGCAACAGTCACCATGAGGGCAGATGGAACCAAATGGCAAATTACGGTTGTCTATGGCCCACAGGGAGACGCCGAGAAATTACAATTTCTACAGGAGCTTGTAGCTATTCCTTGCCTGGCCCATGGGAGATGGCTCATCCTAGGAGATTTTAATCTCATCTACCAGGCAGAAGACAAAAACAACTCCAATCTAAACCGTCGCCTCATGGCCTCCTTCAAAGTGGTCATCGACGACCTGAACCTAAAAGAGATAGGCCTCAACGGACGTCATTTCACTTGGAGCAACGAGCGAGACAATCCGACATTAACAAGAATCGACGGATTATTTTGCACCCCTGATTGGGAATTAACCTTCCCGACATGCTTTCTCCACTCTTTGCCTTCTCTCATATCCGATCACACCCCGCTACTCCTGCAGGGAGAACTTGAGCACTACCACAACCGGACCTTCCGCTTCGAAATTTTTTGGGTCAAGATGGATGGTTTCACGAACTTGGTGGAACAAGTCTGGAGTAAACCTGTGCACTCTTCTTTACCCATCAAACGGTTGCACACAAAATTAGCACGAGTGGCCAAAGGCCTTAAGCGGTGGCGCAGGGAGAAGGTTAGGGACACACGGTTGCAGCTAGCCATCGTCAAAGAGGTGCTGCTACAGCTTGAGGCAGCGCAGGAATTTAGGACACTCACACAACAGGAACTCGACACATGCCAAGCGCTCTAAAAATCGAAGCACCGCTTAGCTGCCATTGAAAAGTCAAGGATTAAACAGCGGGCTAGGCTCACATACATCCGCATGCATGAGACGTAAATACAAAATTCTTCCACATTCGGGCCAACACAAGATTGAGGATGAATTATATCCATTGTCTGCACACAGATGGGAGGGTGGCGACTACACACAATGACAAAGAAAAAATCATCGCAGATTACTTTTCGGCACACCTAGGCTCATATACACCGAGGCCAGTGACGTTCAGCTGGTCGGCACTCGGTTATGTCCGAAGGGATTTATCGGCTCTCAAGGCCCTGTTCATGCAAGAAGAGATCAAAGAGACAATAAAGTCGATGCCACCCGACAAGGCGCGGGGCCCAGATGGTTTCACGGGTGCCTTCTTCAAAGCCTGCTGGGACATCATCAAAGATGATGTTACTGTTGCGGTGAACAGCCTGTACATGCTAAACTCCCAAGGCTTTGAGCTCCTAAATACGGCAAACATCATCCTACTCCCAAACAAAAGGGACGCCTTGCGAGTTATAGATTTTCGCCCAATCAATCTCATCCATAGCATAGCGAAGATTTTTGCCAAGTTACTTACAAACAGGTTGGCACCACTGCTGGACTCCTTAGTTTCGAAATGCCAAAGCGCATTCATCAAAAGGAGGAGCATCCACGACAACTTCCTATATGTTCAAAACACAGTACGGGCAATGCAAAAGATGAAGTTGCCCACGCTGTTTCTGAAACTTGACATACACAAGGCCTTCGATGCGGTCAGCTGGAGCTACCTCCTGGAGGTATTGCAGGCCTTAGGGTTCGGACCACGCTGGCGGGAGTGGGTATCGATCCTTTTCCGCACGATGTCGTCGAGAGTGCTGCTAAATGGACAGCAGGGCCCAGCTTTCAGTCACAACAGAGGGGTTCGACAGGGCGACCCTCTATCGCCCATGTTGTTCATTCTCGCTATGGACCCGCTTCAACGCCTGCTAGACATGGCAACACAGCAAGGCGTCCTCTCTGCTCTTCCTCTATCTACAGCCAGGTGGAGGACCTCTATGTATGCTGATGATGCGGCTATCTTCATTAACCCGATCAAGGACGACTTGGACTCCATCACGACGATCCTCCAGGAATTTGGTAGGGTCTCAGGCTTACATATAAATTTGCAAAAGAGTTCGGTCCACCCGATCAGATGCCAAGACATCGATCTAGACCATGTGTTAGCCTCCTTTGTAGGGGCAAGAGAATCCTTCCCGTGCCGCTACTTGGGACTGCAGCTACATACGAGATCCCTGCAGAAGGTCCATGTGCAACCGCTCATTGAACGCATAGGGCAGAGGCTACCTGGTTGGAAAGGTAGAATGCTCAACAGAGCGGGCAGACTTACTTTGGTCACTTCAGTGCTATCCTAGATGCCTACCTATCACCTCACCGTGTTCCCTCTGGCGGTATGGGAAAGAAAGCAAATTGACAAAATTAGAAGATCATTCTTGTGGAAAGGTGATGTGAACGCCAACGGAGGGCATTGCTTGGTAAATTGGTCGACAGTCTGCATGCCAAAAGATTTGGGAGGGTTGGGGGTGCCAAACTTGGAAAATTTTGGAAGAGCCTTGCGCCTACGTTGGTTGTGGCAGGAGTGGGTTCATGACTCAAAACCTTGGGTAGGGACGACACTGTCGTGCAATGACCTAGACCGTTTGCTCTTCAACGCCTCAACAACGATAACAATTGGGAATGGTAACAAGGCACGTTTTTGGCATCACAATTGGCTAGACGGTGAAGCTCTAAGATACCTAGCGCCCCATCTTTTCTAGCTAGTGAGCCGAAAGAACAGGACGGTTTGCCAGGAACTACAAAATGGTAATTGGATCCGCTCCCTCAGGACGCGAATCACAACATCCGTTCAGATACAAGAATTCGTTGCCCTCTGGATCAGGATTCAGGAAGTGCAGCTCATGCCCGATGTGCAAGACTCCATAGTGTGGAGATGGACGGCTGATGGAAACTACTCCACACGTTCAGCATATAACATACAGTTCCAAGGTTCACACTACAAGTTCCAAGCTGATCTCATTTGGAAAGCAAGGGCGGAAAATAAATGCAAGATACATGCCTGGTTACTAATGTACGACAAAATCCTCACGGCAGATAACTTGCAAAAGAGAGGGTGGCCACATCATGAGCATTGTGTCTTGTGCAATGGACCTTTGGATACATGACTGCATCTATCTTTGCTATGCCCCTTCGCTAAAACCATCTGGAGCCAGGTGTTATCTTGGGAAATCTTTGATGTGCAACTGCCCCAACAAGATCCCCAGTGCCTGGCCACCTGGTGGGAGGAGGTGGCGAGCAAGGTGCCAAAGCAAGAACACCGAACATTTAATGGAGTGCTCATTTATGTTGTGTGGAACATGTGGAAGTAAAGGAATAGGAGAATTTTTGAAAACAAGCACAAAACATCGGAACAGTTGCCTATCTGGCCAAGGAAGATATTGTTCAGAGACGTAGGGCCATGTATAGTGCGGGCTAAATCAACAAGCGCATGAGCGGTGGCTTCTGTATGTTGGCTCTATGGCCGGTGTTTGAGTTGGTCCTATGACTAGGTTTCTTGGCACCATTGGTGGCTCTACATAAAACTATATTTTCTTCTTAATTGAGCGGCAGAGCTCCTGCCTTTACTTTCAAAAAAAAAAGAATTCTTTTCAATGTATCACAAAATAACGAAAAACAAGTCAGCATCTAGGCAGCACTAAGCCACCTGCCAGGTGCTTTTTGAGTTTGGACAACGACCTATTTGATGCAGTTCACAAATCATATATGACATCATGTGGTTGGTTTACAAAGGTACTGAAACTCCCATGGTATTACCACATACACCCCTCTGTTTTTTATGCTTAGTTATTTTGCCACACTACAGATTTTCCCCATCTTTCATGTTACTTAGTGGAAGATGAAGAACATGAATATACTTGTTAGCTTTGTTTGCTACCTGATATCTGAAAGAGCTTTCCATGTTAATTATGCCTGTGCTACTGTTAGCTTGATGCACTCTTCCATTTTCAGGCTCAACTTGGTGTTTGAGTTTTCGAAGAACTGGGTACATGACACAGAAAGTTCCTGGTACTAGAATTCTAACATAAAACCAATCCGGTACACTTTAATACCACTGAAGATGTCGCGGTTAAGAAATCTAGCATCCCATCATCTATAAATGCTTTTTTTTTTGTTTACCTATTGGTTAGCTATGTCAATCTGCAGTAGTTGTGCCTCAAGCACGATCCACTTTCCTCCCTCTAATAGCCTAATCTGCAATCTGTGTGCACCAGGCTGGACAGAAAAGAGGAGCACAGCAACGGGGCCAACACCACAACTGGAGAAGAAGGCCGGGATCTGTTTGCCATATGGTCCATGCGGTAGTAGTGGAGAGCAGAGGATCCAATTTGGCCTGAGGTGAGTGGTCCATGCGGTAGTAGTTGTGCCTCAAGCATGATGCAATTTGGTCGACAGAGAAGGCAAGGACGCAAGAGGAAGAAGACTGTCGAATGTGTAAATGTGACGGATTCGTAATTTTGTAACAGCAGCATCTTTTGGTGCCGGTATGAAAGTGTGCCCGGTGGATTTGATGGTAGATTTTTGAAACTAGAAACTTTGGGTCACAGACCTTGTTCTTCCCTGATCTCTAAGACTTTAACTACACCTGCACCTACTCTTAATAAGAGCAGAATAATATAAAGCAGTAATGGAACATTAAAAAAAAGATTGGTCCAAGCAGCCAGTTGAAGTGCGGCTTACTTTCACCATCCCCACCACTACTTTTTAATAGTAATTGGGAACAACATTTTCTAGTGATATGTTGAATGCCCTCCCATTTGCTAGAATTTCAACAAATTGTCTAACTAGTTCAAATTGATCACGTTTGTTTTGGCAAGAAAGAAAGTAAGGGACCTGTTAGGAAGTAGTACCTGGTTTAGGTAGCGGGTGCAGTGAGAAGTAAGCATCCTAGAGGAAGAGGCCTTGAACGCTGACACTACACTCCGAAGATGCATGTCAACGCCGAGTACATATAGTTCTGCGACTTCCCACCCCTCGCACTTGCGATTGTAATTGTAGTTATGGACCGTGAGGTAGATGACATGAGGTTCCACCGTGCTGATGACCGGAAAATGGGGCAGCAGTGGCACATCATTGTAGTGCGGGTCGTGCCAGAGATCTCCGATGCGGACTGATTCATGTTATACTATACGGATCGTCTAGAGTAGATCTAGCCGGGGTGCTTGATGAAACAAAGACCTAGGATACGTTCTAGTGCAGCGATAGAGAGACAGAGAGGGTGGATGAGGTCTGACGAACCTGACACCGTGGAGGGGGAGGGTTCAGAGGCCGCCATCGGGTTCGTTGGTGAAGTCTGCGCACGGACAGCGACGGTCGATGAAGAGGGCAGTGAAGACGTCGACGTTGATGCAGCAGGCGGCGCGGCTGGTGGCTTTCCGTCACTGGCTGTGCCCCTCTCTTATCGGATTAGGGTTTAGATGTCGGTGGGAGCACGGCTCAGATCAACCTCATGATAAGAGCCACCGCCCCCACCTCTTTTTATAGCGCAAGGTGACATGGGCCCTCCAGCCATGGTGGGCTGGGCGCCCTCATCAGGGCGCGAATCAAAGGCCCAACTGGGTCGTTGGGTCTAGTTAGGTTAGAGATCAATCTAACAATCTCCCCCTTGATCTCTTTTCATCTTTCACTTTCATATCATTTACTTTTATTCATTCCATTACAGATTAGCGCATAGAGCATGTCTCATCGTCACGGTCCATTGCCGATAGATTTAACAGCTACAACACACTACTCTGTTCTAAAATAGATACTTATCTTTGGGCCTTCTTTTATCCAGGAATTATAGGTTTTTCCTTAAACCCATGCCGGCTACATGTTCTTTGAACAGTTGGGTGGTAAGCCTTTTGTAAACGAATCCACGAGCATCTTTACTATACTTATATGCTCAAGAC